CTTGACTCTGTAAAACACTTCCATCAACCAAAAACCAAGCCCTCTTTGCCTTAACATTTTTGAGAACCTCTATTCACACTCCTGAACTTTATTTTTTATAAATCTGCTTCTTTCTTCAAGCCTTTAAACTCTTTTGCTTTCCAATCATTCTCTAAGTCTCAAGGAAGTAGCTTTATTAATGCTACTCCAGGTACCACTGAAGTCTGCATCCATTCTGGAATTAGAGTCAGACAATATGCATCCAACAGTCCAGACATTATCTTGGTACACCCTGAAGTTAAACTCTTTTAGATGAGGATGCATCTCTAATGTTTATGGAATGTATGACATCATTAAAGTTGCTTAACCTCCCTTTGCCTCAGTTTCCATATCGGTGGAACTGTGACAACAATATGATCTACCGTATAGGTCTTTTTACAATTTAAACAAGGTAAAGCATTTAGAACAGTATCCAGCACATAACATATGCTGCTATTAATTTTGTTATTACTATAGTTATAATATTTAGTGCTAAAATAGTTGTTATTATCACCACTAGACCAACTCTTAGCCAAGGGTTATGGGACACAATCTTAAATCTAATCGAAGTATGTTTCATCTACAAGTAGCATTAGATTGTAGGAAGGGTTTTATTCATTGACTAGCTCACAGATTTTAAAACCTGAATGCTTTGGTCTTGATCTATACTAAATTGCTCAGCCTTTAATTATGATCTCCCAGATCTGCCCAGTGCATTTCTTCTCACCATTCACTATCAAAATTTTACCCAGTGAAAAGGCAAAAAAGGCAAAGAAAAAGCATATGTATGAGGGTGTTTTGGAAAACTGAACTATCACTTCACCTTTTTGTAAAATCATCTGCTTTCTCTGACAAGAGATGTCAAGTTGAGAATATTTGATTTTTTAAAAACACTTCGTACTTCTTCAAACACATTTTAAAAATTTTATTATACTTTAAGTTCTGGGGTACATGTGCAGATCATGCAGATCTGTTACATAGGCATACACATGCCATGGTGGTGGTTTGCTGCATCCATCGCCCCCATCATCTACATTATGTATTTCTCCCAATGCTATCCCTTGTCTAGCCTCCCAACTCCTAATAGGCCCTGGTGTATGATGTTCCCCTCCCTGTGTCCATGTGTTCTCACCATTCAGCTCCCACTCATGAGTAAGAACGTGCAGTGTTTGGTTTTCTGTTTCTGTGTTTGTTTGCTGAGAATGATGGTTTCCAGCTTAATCCATGTCCCTGCAAAGGACATAAATTCACACTTTTTATGGTTGCATAGTATTCCATATTGTATATGTGCCACATTTTCTTTCTTTTTTTTTTTTTGTCATTCTCCCAGTTTGGTTGAATTAAATATTGCTGGAAGAGATCATCACTGAATAATAATTTTACAGGGTTTAGGAAAATGGCAACATTTATTTATTTATTTTTAAATTTTTTATTGCATTTTAGGCTTTGGAGTACATGTGCAGAACATGCAAGACAGTTGCATAGGTACACACATGGCAGTGTGTTTTGCTTCCTTTCTCCCCTTCACCCACATTTGGCATTTCTCCCCAGGCTATCCCTCCCAACCTCCCCCTCTCACTGGCCCTCCCCTTTTCCCCCCAATAGGCCCCAATGTTTAGTACTCCCCTCTCTGTGTCCATGTGTCCTCATTTTTCATCACCCGCCTATGAGTGAGAATATGCGGTGTTTCATTTTCTGTTCTTGTGTCAGTTTGCTGAGAATGATGTTCTCCAGATTCATCCATGTCCCTACAAAGGACACAAACTCATCATTTCTGATTGCTGCATAATATTCCATGGTGTATATGTGCCACATTTTCCCAATCCAGTCTATCATCATTGGGCATTTGGGTTGATTCCAGGTCTTTGCTATTGTAAACAGTGCTGCAATGAACATTCATTAGGCTGCTATGTTTAATTCTGCTGCAACAGAACTCATAAAAAAAAAAAAACCTTTTTTTCTCAGATGCTCTGTCTGGGGGGGTTGGGGCTTTATTTTTGAGTGTCCACTGTGCTGTCCTGCCCAGCTAGGAGGCAGTCTAGTCACTATTTGCCTGCCGAGGCTCCACCCTGCTGGTGTGAGGTTCACCCTGTTGCTGCAGGCTCTGCCCTTCTGCTGTGGTCTCCGCCCTGTGGTGGAGTCTCTCTGTTGTAGCAGGTTGCCTCGGCAATGGCAGGCTGCATCAGCAATGGGCGTGTACCTCAGTAGGGGCGGGTTGCCTAATGGCGGGCGCCCCTCCCTCACGGAGCTGCGCTCTCAGGGAACCTCTCCACCGGGAGCGTTTGGAATCGCCGTTTTGTTTGTCGCACTGCGCTACTCCAAACGCTGTGTCCCTGGAATCTCCTGGGCAGGCTCACTGTCCAAGTCCAGTTCAGTCTCAAGTTCAGCCCTCTCAAGTCTCAGGTTGCGGGTTCAACAGGGCACCCTGACCCATGCGCTTTGTGCAGAGCGCTGTGTAGCGCTGCTGTGCTACGGCAGGGGCCGCCGCCGCACCGGCTGCCAGCTACACCAGCCAAAACCTCTGCCTGGCGTCCCTTGTCTCTTTTATACCTGGGAATTTCCCCATTCTGTGGGCAACAAAGATCCGTCTGGAAATCCATTTTCTTTATATGATCTATCATTGATGGGCTTGTATGCACTTTTCAGGCCACATACAGATGGATTGGCAGAATGTAGATTTATGAGTTCCAGATATCTGAGCAAAACTTCTGCTCAAATCATCAGTGACCACTAAGCAAACACATAGGAAGCTTTTATAAATCCCCTAAATATTAAAATTAAGAATGAAAAATTAACAGAGATATCAGTGATCAAAATATCCTGGTAGGGGTTGGGGAGGGAGTTGTAGATTCTTCAGTATAGGTTCAGGCAAGTTATTAAAATGAATGTAACAATGCGCAGGACAATAAAATGGAATCTAGAAAGACGTTATCTAAAATGTGCAGTTTTAAATTTTAAAAAACTTTCAAAGAAAAGTGTGACCAATATTGAGAGAATAAAAACAAAACAACAACAAAAACTGTCTGTGGAAAGCCAGTCTGCTCAGTTCCTGGAGCTACTAATGCTCTGGGTTCCTGCTAAGGACAGAAGGGAGATGAGAAGTGAGAATGATGTGGAAAGGTAAGCTTCAGGGCCCCTACTAATGGCTAAAAATAGGGACTTCCCATATGCAAATAGAAACTATAAAAAAGGATGAAATGAGAATTCTAGAAATGAAGAAAACAATAACCATATTGTAAAATTCACTAGACATGTCTACCAGCAGTTTAAGATTACAGAAGAATTGGTGAAATTGAAAAAAAAAATCAATGAAAATTAATCCAAATTTTAAAAAAAACTTTAGAAAGTAATTTTTAAAACTTCAGAGATGTATTGGTCAATATGAAGAATACCAAAACCCGTGCAATGGGAATCAAAAAGTAGAAGAGAAAAAGTACCTGAAAAAATATTTGAAGAAATTACTGCAGCAACTTTTCAAAATTAAAGAAATTTATTAATGTGTGGATTAAAAGAATTCAGTAATGCCTGTTAGAATAAACACCATGACATTCATAACTAAACACATTATAGTTACAATGTTGAAAGGCAAAAAGAAAAACTTAATGCATCAAGAAAAAATAGACTCAGCATAAAATCTCAGGGAAACAATTATAAAGCCATTGCCTAATATTTCATTATGACTCAGGGAGTATAGAAGATAATTAACTTCCTGGCAGGGGGTGGGGGGAAGGCAACCAAGAATTCTATTTCCAGTGAAAATATCCTTCAACAGTAAAAGAAAAGGCTGGGTATGGGAGCTTACACCTGTAATTCCAGCACCCTGGGACACCGAGGCAGGCGGATCACGATGTCAGGAGTTCGAGACCAGCATGACCAATATGATGAACTCTGAAGTAAAAATGCAAAGATTAACCAGGTGTTGTGGTGTGTGCCTGTAATCCCAGCTACTCTGGAGGATGAGGCAGGAGAATTGCTTGAATGTGGGAGACGGAGGTTGCAGTGAGCTGAGATTACACCATTGCACTCCAGCCTGGGAACAGAGCAAGACTACATCTCAAAAAATAAAATAAAAATAAAAAAAGAAAAGTAAAAATGTTTCTTGGTAAATAAATATTAACAGACTCATGAATAGCAGATATGGCTTAGAAAATATTCAAGAGGAATTTCTTTATAATTTCAGGAAATAAAAGCAGTCAGCAACTCAAGTTTTAATTCCAGAAGTAGAATTAAAACCCCACCCTCCCAAAAAAACAGCAAGCAGTAAGAAAGAAGTTAGATGACAAACAAAAATGAAAGCAAACCAAAAAGTACTCTTCCTTCAATTCATGTGAATTTCCAACTTAGAAAAGCCCAACCTATTGTGATAGACACCAGAATGCCAGAATGACAGAATGCCAGTTACCTTGGTTGGAATAGTTGGAGAAATAATTAAGATGGTGCATGAGGGAAGCATCAGGAGAATTTGAAATTTCATAGGGTTTCATCTGGAGAGTGAATATACATAAACTAGTCAGTTTCACTTTTCAGTTTTATGAGCTTTACTCTATGTGCTTTATCTCCATTAAAGAAAAAAAAACAGAAAAGAGACAGAAACTAGACTCTTAAACTAACATTACAAAGAATAATCAAATATTAATAAAACTCAACCTATTAAAGAGAAGTGTAAAATGTGCCTGAGAAAGTGAGAAAAAATAAAAATCTATTAGAGAAAATGAAAGGAGACATTTAAATATGTCACTTCTGCCACTCAGGCAATATTAACTTTATTTTTATTAGAGGTTCTTCAAATACAGAGGATATTTTATGTCACTTTGTTCACAACAGAGCCCCTCCACCCTCCCCTTGGCTCTTTCCACTTCACTGCACCCATGGGGGATTTGCATACTATCCCCTAGGGAGGGCCTTCCCTTGTGACTGTGGGATAAAAGCTCAGCTCTAACCTTGCCTTGACTGATTAGAACTCCTCAGTTCACCTTCTCAAAATGAGGCTCCCTGCTCAGCTCCTGGAGCTGTTGATGTTCTGGGTCCCTGCTAAGAGTAAAGGGAGATGGGGGGAGGAGAAAGGGGCGAGAGGGTGAGCTCTGGGGGCTCCTCTGCCTTTCATGTGTGTTCTGTCCATGGGTTACATGTACTCGCCTTGCCCTCCAGGATGGGATATGTGATATTTAAATCTGTGACGGTGAGAAAGATTCTAGAAGGAGCAAGGGCCTGTGTTCTGGGAAAGACTGACACAGAAAGAGGTGGATGGTGTGAGAGAATTCAGTTAACTCCCTTGTGCCTCATAAATCTTGATTCTTTGTGAAATTGGACGTTTTTGGGATATAAACCAAAAATGCCGTCACAAAAATAATAATTTATCCTAAAAAATTTAATAGAAAACAAATAATGAAAATGTCTCTTAATGTTTGTTTATAACCTTCTACTTCTCTCTCATTGCTTTAGGATCCAGTGGGGATGTTGTGATGACTCAGACTCCGCTTTCCCTGCTCATCACCCATGGAGACCCAGCCTCCATCTCCTGCAAGTCTAGCCAGAGTCTCCTGCATAGTGATGGAAACACCTATTTGTCTTGGTACCTGCAGAAGCCAGACCAGTCTCCACAGCCCCTGATCTACAAAGTTTCCACTAGAGCCTCTGGGGTCCCAGACAGGTTCAGTGGCCGTGGATCAGGCACAGATTTCACACTAAAAATCAGCAGAGTAGAGCCTGAGGATGTTGGAGTTTATTACTGCATGCAACGTACAAAGTCATCCCATAGTGGTACAGCCCTGAGCACAAACCTCCCTGATGGGTGGCCCAGCTTCCTACATGTATTGTTTGTCTTGGGAGCAGGCACCATAGAGAGCAAGAAAATAGAGAACTCAGGGGGATGAGTTGCAGGAAACTGCCCCCAATGCATGCAGGGGCTACACCTCAGGCAGAACCTACAGGAGAATGGCAGGGTCTAAGTGCCCACTGAGCAACCAGACATGACAATGGAGAAAGATGAATGAAAGTTCATCTCAATCCTCCTAGCCTTTTCCTACATCTGTTTTTCAATTCAAACCATTCAGTGTAATGTCTTTGTAAGTAATGTTCATGTCAATCTAAACTAATATTTTTGGGGGATTTTATTTTTGTTGAATAGTTACTGGTTATAGATGTAGCTGGGTTTGTTTAGTAACATAGTGATTGTTTCTCTTCTTCCCCTACCTTCACGCTTCCACTTTTTCTTAGCATATGTCTCTCCCAGCAAAGGGGCAGGCATAGCATTTTATACCATGGTTTCAGGACTTATGCATATACCTGGTTTTGGGCTACTAGGTTGACTTTGTTAAATCTGTTTAAAAATAAAAGTCATGTGTCCAATGTGTTTGATCAGTCTCAGGCACAGCAGGTTGAAATAAAAGGTGAGGTTTCTGAATTGCAAATCAAGGGTTTTAAAAATAAAGATTCACGTCTGGAAGAATTACCATACTTTTTTATGCCATATTCAACAGAATTTTGAAAAATATTAGATATTGCATTACAATTTTTTGCCTGATACAAAATAAGAATGTTAAGATTTTGGGCAGCAGCAGTGAAAGCGAGCGTGAAGGACACGTGGCAGAGGTCAACTGTTGGTGCAAACCCAGCTCTGTTGCTTATGTTTGCTGGGGTCCCTATGCTGGTGGGGTTGGAGTTGAGCTACACACCCAGATGGAAACTTGTATTTCTTGGAAAGAATCACAGTGTTGAATAGACCCCTGCTTGGCCTTCAAGGCTGTGTCCTGATGCCACTGCAAGCTCATAGGGAAGTTGTGCCTCTTGTGGGGCTCTAGGACTTTAGTGACTTAAGGGTTACTGCAAAATTACCTTAGGTCATGTCACACCTTCCTAGCCAACCCAGCAAGACATAGGTGAGCTTCCAAAAGTTGATTCCACCTATGTCCTATATTTGGGGATGATATGAGAGAGAATGGCAATTTGGGAGATACCTTATATCAAAATAGTAAGATGTTAACCAGGGCTGAGCTATGGCTGGGAAGATCAGTGGGAGATTCGGTGATAGGAGCCCAAGGTCCATGTTTTAGACCTGCCTGAAGGACATCAGTGCAGCATTACAAGAGAAACTCAGGAGAATGTAGGAGCTTTCATTCTACCTTTCTGATCCAGCCTCCAGCCACTCTTCCTAACCCAGATCTCAGCAAACGTCTCAAAATGAAATCTATCCTGGTGATAAGGAGTCAGTTCTTGTCTACTGTGTTAAGGCAGCTCCAAGAACTGCCAAACTTACGTGGATTCTCCTTCCTCAGAGTCCCTCTGCTTGGTCCAAGCCAGAATCTCCACCCACACTCACACTTGGCAAGTTTCATAAAATAACTCAATGAGAGAAAAAACATCAGTTTACCTAAAATGGTGCATTTCTTCCATGAAATTTTAGGTAATTTGGTTCATTTTGTCTGTAGCACTATGTCATTATGAACATGATTTTAAAAATATATTACTCATTCCTTTCTGCTTTTGTTGAATTGCTTTTGTTTCTCTTCTAAGAACCACTGCTTCATTCCTTTTACTTTCACATTTTAAATTAAGTTAAAATGGGAGAATGCCGACTTTGTTATTACATTATTAATAGAAGAAATTCATGTTGAGAACAATCAATAAAATGCACATGACATGATCACATTTATGTTGAAAATGAAGGAATAGAATCTGAAAAAGTTATGGTGACTATGTCAGAGTTAGCAATGTTTGATACCAGATGTGATTTTCATATTCCAGCAATAAATGCATAGAACTGTATACTCTAAATATGCCACATTTAAAGACTGCTCCAATCATATTTTATACAGAACAGAGAATATAAATTATGGTATTATATATGATAGAAGTAATAAGCATTTGAATTAACAAACAAAAAATGCTATGCGATATTTATGTTTTGAGATCTGTGGTTGCCTTGGCCCTGCGCACATTTCTAGAGGCAGCAGGGCAATGGTGGTTACAGCAGTGTCTAGCATGCAGTACCTGTTCTATTACTCACACAAATGGTCTCACCTAGTCTAGCATTAGTCCAAAACAGTTGAGTATTGACATTATTGCTCTGAGTCTTGTTTTGCAGACAATTTCATAATCTGCTTTTCAATTATTAAATATAAATTTTGAATATATTCGGAGAGAACTGGCTTATGATACATACAATTAAGGAACCTCAAAGACATGTTAGGATAAACATGATAGGACAAATTAAGATATTTTGTTAATGTTATACTCCACCAACAGAAGCTGGGTCAGCCTAAAATATCTCTTATAAAGTGTGGTTCCTAGGTGTGTCCTGGGGTTCCAGCTCTACTCACTGTCAGTGGAAATGGGGCAGATTTCTCACCCAGAATCAACAATCTGATACTTGAGAAAGACGAAGATGCTAGAACACCTTAGCATGACCTTCTCCCTGATAAGTCACAGCCTTGTATAATCTACTTCAACAGAGAGCAGGCAGAATCTATGATTCACTTCTAACTCATATAGAATGGCAAGAGTGGGGAGATGTCTTTCCAATGATTGCATTGTATTATATAAGCCTCTGTCTTAGCAGACTGGAGTGAGACACTCTCTGCTGGCCTTGATCAAGCAAACAGGCATATGTGCATTGCTTATGGGAAGATCACATGGCAGGGAATTGCCTGCAGCCTCTAGGACGTGAAAGCAGCCTTCAGCCAGGATCCAATAAGTTGAAGCCCTAAGTCATAGGGATGCAAGAAAATTAATTCTGCAACAATCTGAAAGAGCTTTAAAGGGCCTGTTCTCAAGTCAGTCTCAGATGAGAATGCAGTCTACACATGGTACAGCCTTGGACAACCTATGAACATTCTTCTACATGTGGCTTGTCAATTATCACAGCACTATTTGTTGAGTAGGGCGTCCTTTCCCCATGTAGGCTGTAAGCATTTGACTTTATTTCTGAGGTCTCCATTCTGTTCCATTGGTTTATGTGTCTATTTTTACACTAGTACAATGCTGTTTTGGTGACTATAGCCTTATAGCATAGTTTGAAGTTGGGTAATGTGAGGCCTCCAGGTTTTTTTCTTTTGGCTTAGTATTCCTTGGTTATACAGATTTTTTAAAATTCCATATGAATTTTAGGATAGTTGATTTTCTAGTTCTGTGAAGAATGATGGTGGTACTCCTATAGGAATTGCATTAAATTTGTAGATTGCTTTTGGCAGTACGGTCATTTTTGCAATATTGACGCTATCCATCCATGAGCATGGGATGTATTTCCATTTGTTTGCATCATCTATGATTTATTTCAGAAGTTTCTTGTAGTTTTTCTTGTAGAGGTCTTTCACGTCCTTAGGTATTTTCCTAAGTATTTTTCTTGTTTGCAGCTATCATGAAAGGGGTTGAGTCCTTGATTTCACTCTCAGGTTGATCGCTATTGGTGTATAGCAGAGCTATTGGTTTGTGTACGTTAATTTTATATCCTGATATTTTGCTGAATTCATTTACCAGTTCTAGGAGATTTTGGGATCATCCCTCACCTTATACAAAAATCAACTGAAGGTGGATCAAAGACTTAAATCTAAGACCTGAAATAATAAAGATGAAAGAAAATAACATTGAAAAAACCCTTCTAAACATTGGCTTGGACAAAGACTTCATGACCAAAAACCCCAAAGCAAATGTAACAAAAACAAAGATAAATAGATGGGACTTAATTAAACGAAAACACTTCTGCACAGCAAAAGAAATAATCAGCATAATTAACAAACAACCCACAAAATGGGAGAAAATATTTATACTCTATACATCTGACAAAGGACTAATATCCAGAATCTACAATGAACTCAAACAAATCAGCAAGAAAAAACAAACAATCCCAGCAGCAAGTGGACTAAGGATATGAATAGACAATTCTCAAAAGAAGATATACGAATGGCCAACAAACATATGGAAAAATATTCAACATCACTAATTGTCAGGGAAATGCACATCAAAACTACAATGCAATACCACCTCACTACTGCAAGAATGGACATAATCAAAAAATAAAAACTAATGGATGTTGGAGTGGATGTGGTGGAAAGGGAATGCTTTTATGCTGTGGTGGGAATGTAAACTAGTAAAACTACTGTTGAAAACAGTGTGGTGATTCCACAGTGAACTAAAAGTAGACCTATTATTTGATCCAGCAATTCCACTCCTAGGTATCTACCCAGAGGAAAAGAAGTCATTATACAAAAAAGATACTTGCACATGCATATTTACAGCAGCACAATTTGCAATTGCAAAAAGGTGAAACCAGCTCAAATGCACATTAATCAAGGAGTGGATAAAGAAACTGTGTTACATATATACCATAGAATACTACTTAGCCTTAAAAAGGAATGAAATAATGGCATTTGCCATTGGATGGTGAATTCTATCCAACTTGGATGGAATTGGAGGCTATTATTCTAAGTGAAGTAACTCAAGAATGGAAAACCAATCATCATATGTTCTCACTGACATGTGGGAGCTAAGCTATGAGAACACAAAGGTGTAAGGATGATACATTGGATTTTGGGGACTCGGGTGAATGGGAAGGGGCTGGCAAGAGATAAAAGACCACATACTGGGTACAAGGTACATTGCTTGGGTTATGAGTGCATCAAAATCTCAGAAATCACCACTAAAGAACTTATTCATGTAACCAAACACCACCTGTTCCCCAAAACCATATTGAAATAAAAACAAACAAACAAACAAACAAAAAACAAATAAATGACCTACGAACAGAAACAACTAAACCATGTGCAGACTCCTGACTCAGAAACCAGGAGATTATAAATGGTTGTAGTCTTAAAATCATAAGTTTGTGGTAATTTGTTACATGACCATAAAAGCTAACACACTTGTTAAGAGTAAATAATGGACCTAAGAGCAGCAATGTCAGTAGATGGGCTCAGGCTTATTCTCATTGTGATTTTAGGGTTCACAAGCACAGCAAGAGAGGAAGCAGGTGAGAACTGTTTTATCTTGGTGTCCTAAAGATCATAAAACATGACAAGGTCATGATCGTGAAACAGGCCTTCATTTTAGTTTGGGGAGCAAATGCTTTTCTAAGTATAATGGGACACTATGAGATACTTTTAAAATAGAGCATTCTCATGATAGTATTTATTTTAAAAAGATTGATAATTGTAGCTGGGCTGTGAGGAGCAAGAAATACAATCAGCTGGGTAAAGTGAATGCTGGCATAGTCTTTGGTTAGTGGAGTTTGCTGAAGACATAAGGAGATGGTACCCTATTTTGGAAGTAATGACAATGAGCCTCCCAGATGTGAGAAGAGAAGGAAAGAAAGGGA